GTCACAATAGCGTGCATTTAAAAACCCAAAAACGTTTTTTCACTGTTATATTTTGAATAGCAGTTAGTTGTCTCAAAGCGGGTGTGTCAGCCCTACAGCGTGTACTCTGCCAGTTCACAGTGCCACTCATATCTGGTGTCACAATAGCGTGCATTTAAAAACCCAAAAACTTTTTTCACTGTTATAGATTGAATAGCAGTTGGTTGTCTCCAAAGTGGGTGTGTCGGAGGGCTCACAGGTGGATACTGTGCCCAGTGCCACCACTCACTCACTGGTGTCTGGCCAAGCTTGCATTTAAAACCAAAAACTTTTCACTGTATAGATTGAATAGCAGTTAGTTGTCTCAAAGCGGGTGTGTCAGGCTCACAGTGGATGCTATTGCCCAGTGCCACACTCACTCACTGGTGTCACAATAGCTTGCATTTTAAAACCAAAAAACTTTTTTCACTGTTATAGATTGAATAGCAGTCAATGTCCTTAAAGCGGGTGTGTTTCGCTAACAGTGGATACGGTGCCCAGTGCCACCACTCACTGGTGTCATAATAGCCTGGATTTAAAAACAAAAAACTTTTTTCACTGTTATAGATTGAATAGCAGTTAGTTGTCTGCCAGTGGGTGTGTCAGGCTCACAGTGGATACTGTGCCCAGTGCCACCACTCACTCACTGGTGTCACAATAGCTTGCATTTAAAAACCAAAAACTTTTTCACTGTTATAGATTGAATAGCAGTTGGATTGTCTCAAAGCGTTGTGTCAGGCTCACGAGTGGATGATGCTGTGCCCAGTGCCACCACTCACTCCTGGTGTCACAATAGCTTGCATTTCAAACCAAACAACTTTTTACACTGTTATGATTGAATAGCAGTTGTCTGCCAGCGTCTGTGTCGGGCTCACAGTGGATACTGTACTGAGTGCCACCACTCACTCACTGGTGTCACAATAGCTTGCATTTAAAACCAAAAAACTTTTTTCACTGTTATAGATTGAATAGCAGTTAGTTTGTCTGCCAGCATCTGTGTCCAGGCTCACAGTGGATACTGTGCCCAGTGCCACCACTCACTCACTGGTGTCACAGCCAAGCTTGCATTTAAAAAACCAAACAGCTTTTACACTGTTATAGATTGAATAGCAGTTGTCTGCCAGCGTCTGTTTCAGGCTCACAGTGGATACTGTGCCCAGTGCCACCACTCACTCACTGGTGTCACAATAGCTTGCATTTAAAACCAAAAAACTTTTTTCACTGTTATAGATTGAATAGCAGTTAGTTGTCTCAAAGCGGGTGTGTCAGGCTCCCAGTGGATACTGTGCCCAGTGCCACCACTCACTCACTGGTGTCACAATAGCTTGCATTTAAAACCAAAAAACTTTTTTCACTGTTATAGATTGAATAGCAGTTAGTTGTCTGCCAGCATCTGTGTCAGGCTCACAGTGGATACTGTGCCCAGTGCCATCACTCACTCACTGGTGTCACAATAGCTTGCATTTAAAACCAAAAAACTTTTTTCACTGTTATAGATTGAATAGCAGTTAGTTTTCTCAAAGCGGGTGTGTCAGGCTCACAGTGGATACTGTGCCCAGTGCCACCACTCACTCACTGGTGTCACAATAGCTTGCATTTAAAACCAAACAACTTTTTTCACTGTTATAGATTGAATAGCAGTTAATTGTCTCAAAGCGGGTGTGTCAGGCTCACAGTGGATACTGTGCCCAGTGCCACCACTCACTCACAGGTGTCACAATAGCTTGCATTTAAAACCAAACAACTTTTTTCACTGTTATAGATTGAATAGCAGTTAGTTGTCTGCCAGCGGGTGTGTCAGGCTCACAGTGGATACTGTGCCCAGTGCCACCACTCACTCACTGGTGTCACAATAGCTTGCATTTAAAAAAAAAAAACTTTTTCACTGTTATAGATTGAATAGCAGTTGGATTTGTCTCAAAGTGGGTGTGCTACCAGGCTCACAGTGGATACTGTGCCCAGATTACTACCACTCACTCCACCTAGTGTCACAATAGCTTGCATTTAAAAACCAAAAACTTTTTTCACTGTTATAGATTGAATAGCAGTTAGATGTCTCAAAGCGGGTGTGTCAGACTCCCAGTGGATACTGTGCCCAGTGCCACCACTCACTCACTGGTGTCACAATAGCTTGCATTTAAAACTAAAAAACGTTTTTCACTGTTATAGATTGAATAGCAGTTAGTTGTCTCAAAGTGGGTGTGCCAGGCTCACAGTGGATATTGTGCCCAGTGCCACCACTCACTCACTGGTGTCACAATAGCTTGCATTTAAAAACAAAAAACTTTTTTTTCACTGTTATAGATTGAATAGCAGTTAGTTGTCTCAAAGCGGGTGTGTCAGGCTCACAGTGGATACTGTGCCCAGATGCCACCACTCACTCACTGGTGTCTAATGGCTTGCATTTTAAAACCAAAAAACTTTTTTTCCTGTTATAGATTGGAATAGCGTTAGTTGTCACTTATGGCGTCTGTGTCAGGCTCACAGTAGATACTGTGCCCAGTTACCACTCACTCACTGGTGTCACAATAGCTTACATTTAAAACCAAAAACTTTTTTCACTGTTATAGATTGAATAGCAGTTAGTTGTCTCAAGCGGGTGTGTCAGGCTCACAGTGGATACTGTGCCCAGTGCGACCACTCACTCACTGGTGTCACAATAGCTTGCATTTAAAAACAAAAAACTTTTTTCACTGTTATAGATTGAATAGCAGTTAGTTGTCTCAAAGCGGGTGTCAGGCTCACAGTGGATACTGTGCCCAGTACCACCACTCACTCACTGGTGTCACAATAGCTTGCATTTAAAAACAAAAAACTTTTTTCACTGTTATAGATTGAATAGCAGTTAGTTGTCTGCCAGCTTCTGTGTCAGGCTCACAGTGGATACTGTGCCCAGTGCCACCACTCACTCACTGGTGTCACAATAGCTTGCATTTAAAACCGAAAAACTTTTTTCACTGTTATAGATTGAATAGCAGTTAGTTGTCTCAAAGCGGGTGTGTCAGGCTCACAGTGGATACTGTGCCCAGTGCCACCACTCACTCACTGGTGTCACAATAGCGTGCATTTTAAAACCAAAAAACGTTTTTCACTGTTATAGATTGAATAGCAGTAAGTTGTCTGCCAGCGTCTGTGTCAGGCTCACAGTGGATACTGTGCCCAGTGCCACCACTCACTCACTGGTGTCACAATAGCTTGCATTTAAAACCCAAAAACTTTTTTTCACTGTTATAGATTGAATAGCAGTTAGTTGTCTCAAAGCGGGTGTGTCAGGCTCACAGTGGATACTGTGCCCAGTGCCACCACTCACTCTCTGGTGTCACAATAGCTTGCATTTAAAAACAAAAAACTTTTTTCACTGTTATAGATTGAATAACAGTCAGTGTCCTTAAAGCAGGTGTGTCAGGCTCACAGTGGATACTGTGCCCAGTGCCACCACTCACTCACTGGTGTCACAATAGCTTGCATTTAAAAACAAAAAAAGTTTTTCACTGTTATAGATTGAATA